GTGTGTGTGTGTGTGTGTGTGTGTGTGTGTGTGTGTGTGTGTGTAAAGCCTAAAAAAGGAGACAAAGAGGGTAAAATAGGTGATGAGAAATGATTGGGGGGTGGGCAAAAAGACGCATAGAAGATGAAAGGAAATGAGACATTGGTGGGGAGTTGAGGGGGAACACACTTTGTTGAAAAATTCCATCATATCTAATACCTTATATGCTAATTTAAAATTTTTATAAGAAAGTAGGCAGGTTAGATAAGGATATTATTTCTACTTTAGTCACCTCTTCATATGTATTTACATATAGTTTGGTCTTAAGGTAACTGGCTTCAGAAGAGAGGAAGGCCACATGACATAGCTAGCTGTCAACAGCTCAAACTTGGAGGTTGGTAGTATGGGCTCATTCTCAACTCTGCCTATCACTGAGCAAGGGATCTCAAGAAAGTTAGTGTATCTGTTTCTGACTGTTGCTTTGTCTTTAATTGAGGTTTGTTATGTGATTAAATGATTTAACATTAGCTAAGCAAGAAAATACTAATAACATAATTAAAAACTAAGAATTTTAAATAAATAATGCTTAATGAACTGTCATGATAAGAATTGTTTGTCCCTCTCTTCCCTGGCCTGTCTACCCATAACTCTAATGATTTTCTTGCTCAAGGAGGGTTGGCATTTTCCTTTTTTTTTTCTTCATTCTTCTATCCCCCTCAGCTCAGAATGGTGTTTGGGAAGCCTGGAGGAACTACACAGATAATAAGAAGCAAGAAACCAATTTCAGGGTCTTGAAAATACCCATCAAATAGAATAAGAGAACTGCAAATATTCTACTGTATTGGGGCTACATTAAGAGATGGTTTGTTTTTTATTAAATGAACTTACACTAAATTTTCTCAAGAGTTCAAGTGGTATTTCATGTCATTTTTCCAGGCCCCTAGTGATCTTGAGTCAGCTCTAGCATGAGGTTTCTGGAACCTAAGACCAGTTGGGCAAGTCTCTTCCCCAGACCAGACCTCTGTATTCCTGGGAAGGAGATGTCTAGATTTCTAGGTCATTCATAAGACACTGAAATATCTCTACCATATAATGTTAGGAGTGAAGAGAGACTATCCTCCTCCTTCTCCTCCCCCTCTCCCTCCTCCCCCCCCTCTCTCCCCTCCTCCCCCCCCTTTCCTATCCCCATCCATTTTTTCGCTGAGTTTAAGAATGAGTCATGGAATCTAGAATGTCTTTGAAGGCAAAAAGACTTGAGACAGTGGATCCAAAACAAGTCAGATGTCTTCCTAAAAATTACATTGTTCCCCTTCCTCCAAGAAGATACTCTTTATTAAAACAGTCCAGGCTAGTGTGGTGGCACAGGCCTATAATTAGCCAGCACTTGGGAGGCAGAGGCAAGTGTATCTAAGGATTTGTAGCTCGCCTGGCCTACTTAGTGAGTTCCAGGCCAACCCTGTCTCCAAAAAAAAGCAGTGATGTGTTGCTTAATAACAAGGGTATTTTCTGTGAAATGCATTACTAGATGAAGTTGTCCTTGGGCAAACTTGTGTATTTAAAGTACAGTGTCAGTGGGCAAGATAGTCTGTCGGGGCTAGGACCACTATATATTCAGTCCTTCACTGACTGAAAGTCATCATTGAGCTCATAACTATACAGACTTCCTAATTTTCCTTTCTATATCCCTCAAAATCTCCAGTTCACCTCTCTGATAGTTAATCTTGATTGTCAGCTTCAGTGGATATGGAGTTGCCTAAGACACACATCTGAGTATGTCTTTGAGGGGATTTCCAAAGAAATTTACCTGAAGAGGAAAGACGCACTCTGAATGGTAGACAGTAACATTCATGGATTCTGGACTAAAAAAGTAGAAAATGAGAACCAGAATTCATTTCTTTCTCTTTCCTAACTGCACACACATCATGTGATCAGCCACTCCATGACCTTCCTCACCATGATGGACTCAACCCTGTAAGCCAAAATACTCCCTTCCTTCCTAAAATTGGATTTCTTTCCAGAGGGGCGGGGGTCAGGTATTTTGTCACAGCAATAAAGTAATTAATATAGCCTTCTTTTCTTCTCCTCTCTTGTTGCTTTCTTCGATTAAGAACTCTCTCCTCTTGACCAGAGAGCAAACCAAAAACCCACAGGGCCAAGAATCTTTGTGCCTAGTCATGTGGCATTCTATCCTAAATCTCACGATAGGGATGGCGAGAGGAAGCAGGGCAGTTTTAGGTGTTCTCAGCCACTGATGGTAAGGACAAGTTCTTGCAGTACAGCTAAAGTCAGTTCTGTCCTGAGAGGCACTAAAAGGCTCCTGTGGGCAGCAGCTGCTCTGGGTGGCAGTTGTACACTGTGATCATAAAGGAGAGAGTACAACAGCCTATGAGTTTTCACTTTTCACTTTCATGTTTGGGAAGTACTAGGGGGGCAGTAATTCTCACTTCCCTTTGAGGATAAAATTGGAAATCTAAAGGATAAAACTGAAGGTTCCTGGAAGCACTAGGGAGCTAACTGGCTACAGTCCACACACCCTTGGAGTTTGGGGAGGAAAAAGGCCCACAGTACCAGTGCATAGTTCCCTAGCAACAACAGGCAAGCACCTTGGGAAAGATTTGACTTTGTTGCAGCTAGAGAGCTGGCTTGGTACATTTTGGTTCTTGCTTGAGGGTTGAGTTTTACTAACATGATGAACTTTGAATCCTTCCATACCACAAGGAGCATCTAAGAGGCCCACTGATGGTCTAGTCAGCTCTAACTTCCTGAGCTGCCTCTCAAATGCCTGGGTGCCCTACAGGCTGATGGTACTAATAGGGCACTACCGTTCAGGAATACAGATGGGTCTCCACTCCCCACTTTGCCTGCCTCCTTTCTGCCTGATGCCTGTCCACATTCTTCAAGGTCTATGTACAGTTCTGTGAAAGCCTGCCTCTCTCTGAGAGTGACTAGCTAGAGAAGTTAAGTTCCAAATGGGAAGAACTCCAGGACTTGTTGGTTTTTAAAAGTATCCCCCCTCTATTCTACCCAAGAAAGCAAAGGCTGAGAAAATGGAGAGAAGAATGCACAAGATGGAGAGAAAGAAAAATTGAGGCAGGAAGAGAATAAAAGGAGACTAAAGGAAAAATTTTGACAGGGGGAAGGGAAATAAAGAAAAACCAGCATCTCAGCAACCTGTACCATCTACTCCCCATGTGACAGGATTGAAGCAATCCTTTTATTAAATGGGCTCAATTTATGAGTCACTTTTAATGACTTAAGTGAAACATTGTGTACTCTTGGGTGTTTAATAAAGAGCATAAACAGTGTCACTTGCATTTTGTGTAGGTTGAGACTTTTGAGCTTAAACTTGGCAATTCACCAAGTGGACAGGAAAGAGACAAGTCCATGGGTAAAGTAGAGGGACAGGCCTAGCATTGCAGAGTGAGAAATATAGCTGGGAACCTCATGGTTTTATATAAAGTTACTTTGGATTCAATTTCCCAACAGAAGTAGAAACTAATAGTTAATGTGTTATAGAATTTGTACTTCTTGGATGAAACCAAAGAAGTCATAGGGAAATTATTTCAAAGGATAAGAGATGCTGGGGGAGATGAGCAAGGAGGCAAAAGCCATCTCAGCTTTATTCCTCCTGTTTGAAAGTATGGGGAATTCATTAGAAGCAAGGATGCATTGGGATGCAAGGTTGAAATAGCACTTACAGCTTCCTCAGGACCAACTGACCCACAGCCCTTGCTCATGTCTCAACACAAGAAATGTTTCCCATGCTTCCTAAGTGGACCACTACACAATAAAGGCATGATTTTGAAGGATTAAAACAGAACCCTATGAAGAGCCATTGAGATAGCTCAGAAGGTAAAGGCACCTATCACCAAACCTGAAGACCTGAGTTTGATGCCTGGGACCCACATGATGGAAGGAAAGAACTGACTCCTACAAATTGTCCTCTGACTTGCCCACACATGTCTTGGCACAGGCATACACACACACACACACACACACACACACACACACACACACACTCACTCACTAAATAAATAAATTTAATTAATTCAATAAATGTCCTTGAAGCATTCATGGGCTCTTAATCAATAAAAGCAAGTTCATTCTGAATGTCTTTCCTTCAAAGGGCTTTACCTATGGTCTCCAAATTACTAGTTAGCTAGATTTTAACATAACCCTATTCTTACTCGGTCAATGCCTCACAGTTACTTCTTTGGTTTAGAAGCATCCCCCAAAGGCCTAGGTGTTGAAGTTTTGGTCGCCAGCACTAGTGGGAGGTAGTGCAACCTTTTATAAGGCAGAACAACACTACCCTAGTTATGAGTTGTCATACCTTAGTGAAGGAAAGCTACTAACACAATCACTGTTCATGCCAAAAGACCCATTTTATGTGTTTTCCAATGCTTCTCGTTCAATGCTTTGCACACAATGAATCCCTTTTGCCTTTTTCTTGTTGTTCTATTACTTTGCATACTAACTCAGCTCAAAAGAAAAGTTAAGGGAGCTGCAGAGATGGATCAGTGGTTACAAGCACTCTTTGCCCTTGCAGAGGATCCAGGTTTGGTTCCTAGCACCCACATGGTGGCTAACAACCATCTCTAACTCCAATTGCAGGAGATCCTATGCCCTCTTCTGGCCTCTGCAGGTACTGTATAACATGGATGCACTTAATATACATGCAAAACACTCATACACATAAAAAATAAAATTTAAAAAGGAAAAGTTGAAAGTGAAAATTTGGTGACAGTATTTGTGACTTATGTGATAATAAGGCAAAAAGAGGGAAAGGGCATTGTAAAACTATTTCCTCTGTTCTAGTCAGGATGTCTAAAGAAAAACAAAGGGATATCTTCACTGGAGGTTTGCATCATACCTTTGTATGACTCCTAATCCCCTGTGCCAGGACTCAGGTCTAGAACTCTCCTCATGGCAGAATAATGAAAAAAGTCTCTCTTGACCAGAGGTCCATGGTATTAGCACTCAAGCTGCCTCTTCCTAGCCAAGTTATCTTCCCTTAATGTAGTTAAGTACAATTTGGGATACCTCACTCCTACCCTCCTCTATTTTCTTTCCTTCTATGTTTTTTCTCTCATACCTCTCCAACCCTCCCATGTCTTCCATCATTGCTTGCTTGCATGGTCCTTAATCTAGTCACTGGTACTCACAGACTGATAAAGGTCTTTAGGAGTAGAGAGCCTAGCTACCTCCTATTTGCTATAAAAACAAGGGAAATTTTCCACAAATAAGTTGAAGAAGATATCAAGAAGGACTGAATGAATAAAGAGGTTTTTTTTTTTTTCTCTCCAAACATACCTGGAAGTCATAAGCAGAATAAGGTGGCAGGTGAGGAGGGCTATGGTAGTAGGTATTATATGAAGCCACTTGGGGACGAGCATAGTAAGAAACAGTCGGATGAGCATTTTCAACAGAGCAGTTCAGTGCTGGAAGGGTAGGGTTCTGCAGAAAAACAAATTATAAACAATATAAACTTTCATCACTAGGACAATAGTTAAATACACCATAGCACAGGTATATTATAGTATATCATGCAGCTATTGATGAACAAAGATTCAAGTGTATAGTTAGTGATAAAGAGTGTTATCCAGGGTACACTGTAACTTTTTTAAAACTGCTGTGGACTGGGAAGATTTCGCTCAGTGGTAGAGCATTTGCCTAACATGTTCAGGGCCCTGGGTTCAATTCCCAGTACTACAAAAAGCTACTGTTTTAAATTAATATATTATGTTCCTAATTTATGTTTTTTTAAAAAGACTCAAATAATTAGATGTATATATTTGTAAATGCAAAGGAATTAAACTGGAAGAGTCACAACAAACTTATTTGTAGTTACGTCTGGAGAGGGGATGGAGATTCTTAACTTTCTATTATATATGACAAATTTTCTCATTAATATGTATTATGTCATCTCCTCCCAACTTTTTTTTTGAGACAGGGACTCACTATGCAGCTCTGGCCAGCCTGGAACTCACTAATGTAGATCAGGCTGGCCTTGAACTCACAGTGATTCAATTTGCCTCTGCCTCCGGATTTCTCCCCAAATTTTTCACTTGAAAAATCCAAATCTACACATAAAAATTGAAATCACTGACATAACACTTTCATTACTTTTTCAAACAAAACATGTAGAAATTATTTTCTGCCATTTTTATAACCCGGTGGTACATGTAGGCCTTTCAGGGCTAAAGCTATTCCTGTCCAGGACAGAGACCTGCTTATTAGTTCCTGCCTTCATTTTGTTTTCTGTTGCTGTGATAAAACACTGATGAAAATCAACTTGAAGAGGAAAGGATTTGTTTCATCTTATACTTCCAAGGAACATTCCGTGTTTGAGGGAAGTCAGGCAGGAACTTGGAGGTAGTAACTAAAGCGTGAAGCACGGATCATGGAGGGATGCTACTCACTGTTTGCTCAGTCCATTTTCGTATACAACCTAGGACCACTTGCCTGGGGATGGCACCACCCACAGTGAGCTGGGCCTTCCCATATCACTCAACAATAAAGAAAATGTTTCGCAGTCATGCCTATTGACCAGTCCCGTAGAGGAAATTCCCTAGTTGAGGTTCCCTCTTTCCAGCTGTGTCACGTTGACAACTGAAACTGTCCAGCATAGTTCCAGGGTAGTTCTTTGTGCTTTTTACCACATGGATCAAAGTGCTGGGCAAATAATTTTTCTGTCTTCCTTGTCATAGACTCCTCCTTCATTTGTGTGGATAATCAAGAGCTCTCTGAAAGATGAATGTCTTCTTTCCAATACATAGCTACACTACATTAACAGAGAGCAGAAGCTTCCTCTTGAGTAGTGAAAACATGTGAGTAGTTTTGGCAGTGGCACAGGCAACTATGTTAGGATGTTGGCAAAAGAAACTCCCTTACAGCAAGTTTCAACACAGTACTGTTGCTCCATTCCTTGCAGTGGGTTACTATTTACTTCTAGGCAGTGTAAAAAGCCACAAGCTTAAATCATTACAATGCAGCTCACAGACAACTAGTGTGTAGGAGAGGCCTTAAGACCTTTACCATTCCAAGGGCTGGCTCATTTTACAAAGGAAGAGCTCTGAAAAATTCCCTTATTTCTCCACCAGAATTCTAAGAAAGAATTTCAACCCTGAAGGAAGAACCAGAAATTATGTTCCCTTGGTTTTGTGTATTAGGTAGGCCAAGGATACAGGATAATATCTGAAAAGAAGTTGACTATTACAGAGAAAGAAGCACAGAAGAAACATAAAAGGAGAATTAAATAAGCACAGGAAAGCCATTGAAGAGCCAAGACTACAGGAAATAGAGAAAACAGGGTGATAAAAGAGAGGAAGATGAAGATGTAGTAAGGCAAGGGTGAATAGTTGGGCAGGGATGAGACAACATAGATGACCCCAAACAATGATCTGGCTATATTTTAAATCAATAATTATGATTTTCTAGCATCTTGTCAATATTTATGTGCACACATGGGGGTTTGTATGTGTGTCTGTGTGTGTGTTTGTGTGTGTGTGTGTGTGTGTGTTTCAGTTGAAACTCTCTCCCCATTATTGATCAGTAGCATTCTGAGCTCTAGTTAAACAAAAGGTTACTAGGAAGCACGGGAAATGCTGAGAGCAATCTTGCCTGGACAAAACTGACTCTGTTGAAACAATGGTCATGGACTTTAGAAAGAATGCTGCTTTCAGTCTTCTCTAACTTTGTCCAAACCAGAGGCAACACTTAGGGGAAAATGTCAAGATATGTTCGTTTTTTTAAAGAGTCATCTTAAATCTCTAGTCAGCAAACACTGCATTGATCATTTCTCTAGGATTATTTCAAGCACTCTGGTTAGGGTATGAAGACATCCTTTTTCATTTCAGGATCCCACAACTCTGTAAATAGTGGCTCCTAGCCCATTGTATTGACATGCTGCCAGCTCACAGTACTTGGCTCCTATTGTCGCTGGAAATGGCTTCCGTCAGCCAGAACCCTTGAGCCTCCCTATAGACCCCAGGACACTCTATTGACAGAGGAGACACACAGGTTTGCAACTACATTTGGAGTTAAGCCAATGATTTTGTTTGGGCTCACCTATTTATGTTCCAGAATTTTCTACATCATGTCCTCATTTTAGTGAAATAATTTCCTTGGTGGCCTCATGCTATACCACCACTAGCATTTTCTCATTTCATTAATCAAATATTTTTTCTATGAGCTTTTTTTAAATCTTTTATTTTCCTCATGAGTCTTTGATAGAACTCCCAGGATAACATTTGATAATGCTCAGTATTTCCCTCGATCTCCACTCTTACTGTTAAAAATGCTCCCAACATTTGGAAACAACTCAATTTTAATTTTTAGTTAAAATAAACAAGAAGGTAATGTTTGTTGCAACACTTGAAAAATTAAAAAGGGCTAGCAAGATGCTAGTTAGGGGAAGCAGGAATGGCATTGAAAGAGTAAGAGCTCTGGCATCTGGCAGATCTGATCTGGGCTCCAGTTCAAATTCTCCTACTTAGTTCTGGGCAAATCACTTGACCCCACTTGATCTGTTTTCTCATTTGTTAAATGGTGCTAGTTCTTACTACCTTCATGAGTTAAATATTGAAAGTATGTAATGAAGATCAAATAAAAGTAAATGTTCTAAAAGGCCTTTATAAAGGGTAGGAGGCCATTATTGCACCTATCGAAACCATCGGCAAGCTCCTTTATCCTCTGTACATAAAAAATAACTATAATGAAAAATTCAGAGATAAATTTATACATCTCATCTTAACCAATTTTTGAAATGTAAACCAAGATCTAAAATTGGGAAATAGCAGTCTCTTAAACAAATGTGCTATAATGTAGGGTGTGGTGGTGTTTGCTTTTAATCCCAGCACTCAGGAAACAGAGGCAGGCAGATCTCTGTGAGATCAAGGTCAACTTGGTCTAAATAGTGAATTCCAGGCCAGGCTATGGAGACTTTGTCAAAAAAATGTGGTATAGCAAATTTTGCATCTGTTAAAGGTCTAGTGTCTATAATAGAAGAAAAATGCTTAAAACAGGCAGGGCCAGGTGTGGTAGCACAAGCCTGTAATCCTAGTGCTCAGGATTGAGGCAGGAGGACTATGAGTTTCAGGTCTGCCTAGGCAAAAAAGTGAGACCTTATCTCCAAAAGCAGACAAAAATAGTAAAAAATTTAAATAAACATTTCTCCAAAGAAGGTATACAAATAGTCTACACACATGAAATAGGCCTGAAATTATTGGCCATTATAGAAAGACAAGTTATAACCACAACTTTGTACTTACCAGAATGTTTATAATTTTAAAAAACAAGAATTAGAACTTCCCTGGGCTGCACAGCCTCCAGTGTCCTGGTCCCAGCACCTTCCCTGGGTAAGTCCAGCCCGCCCAGCGTGCCTTGACTCCCCCAGCCTCTTTCACCCTCCCAGCTCCCCCACGGAGTCTCTCCTCCTAGACTGGGTACAGGCCCATTTCTTGTCTTGGTACTCCAGACACTGGGGCCTACCTCTTGGCCCAGGGCCACCACTGCTTCCTGATCCTCTGCATCCAGAACAACCCAGTTCCTCCCTACCATCCCCAGGAACTCTCTGGGCCTGGTTCCGCCCTCACTCCCTTTACTTCCCTAGGCTGCACAGACTCTGGGCAGCCTGGTGCCAGCACAGCCTCTGGGCGGCCTGGTGCCAGCACCTTTCCTGGTCCCCAGGAGCCCTCTGGACCAGGTCCCACCCTCATATCCCTTTGCTTCCTGGGCTGCACAGCCTCCCTTGTCCTGGTACCAGCACCTTCCCTCCCAGCTCCCCTGAAGAGTCTCTCCTCCTAGGCTGGTTACAGGCCCATTTCTTGTCTTGGCACCCCAGACACCAGAGCTAACCTCTTGAACCAGAGCTGCCACTGCTTCCTGATCCTTTGCATCAGGACCAACCCATTTCCTCCAGGAACCCTCAAGGCCTGGTCCTGCCCTCACCTCCATTTACTTCCCTGGGTGGCACAGCTACCAGCTTCCTGAGACCAGCATCTATCCTGGGCCCTTCTCCCAGGCCATCCCAGCCCCCAAATTCTTGAGGGCAGCATCTTTCCTGGAGGGACCCATACCTTAGGAGAAAGCCTGATAACGTCTGAGCCTAATCTCACTTGGGCCTCTGTGGGAACTCCTGAAGACAGAAGCAATTAGGCTTCTCCAATACAAAACCAAAAGACAGAACCTGAAGCCTAGACCAACCAGCTTTTCATGTCCAACAAGTAAACCACAAAGGACCATAAAGTTTACAAAAAGAAGCAGATCTAAACTCAACAATGGAAGGCTTGAGTCTCACACAGAATCAGAAACTACAAAGGAAATCCACATGTCAAAGTCACAAAGAAAAAATAATAACATGAAAAACCAAAATAATATATCCCCACCAGGTACCAATAGTCCTCTAGAGGAGTACAATGAGAACTCCCTAGAGATAACACAGGACATGAAACTCA